GAAGCTGAACATGGAGGAAACGTGAGGTGTTAGGGCGAATTTGTTAGACAACGTTGAAATCCTTATTTGGGTCGGTTGAGTGGTAGGGATCGACTAAATGCTGAAGGGTAGAACTTCTGATTCATTCCCTTTCCTCCTTATAAAACCAGTGGTTATGAAAAGGAAGTTTCCAGACAATCCTGAAAAGTATGTATTTAATTATTCTTCAGTATTTCTCTCGGAAATCCACTTACACACCCTATCATTGGGTCCTAAGTTCTGCAGTGGCACACCGAAAGTTAACAGACTCCACACTCAGGTGCAGTTTGAAAACCTAATTAGTCGGACTTCGGATCTTGCTTGGGCATCAACACAGAATTTCCAGCATTTTAAATCCACTATTCTTGACTGCTGTCACCAGTTTGCTAATTCAAAATATTGCTTGAATCATCTGCTGACGAAAGAGCATATAACACGACTCAAGTCGGTCACTGACAATCACGACATCATCTTAAGTCGTCGTGATAAAGGAGTGTCGTTCTGATGAATCGTCAGGAATACGTCATGAAAATGCTATCGATTCTCTTCGATCAAACTAAGTTTGATAAACCTGCAGGTGAGAGGAACAGAACACAACAGATTGAGATCCAACTCACAGGTATCGTGAGGAAAATGAAGGATTTCCTTTAGTTTGTATGAACGCATCCTACCCGTTGCTTCAGTAATCCACGCCTCGATGGATTGCCGAAAATACATAAGGCAGGATTACCCCTTCGCCCGATTTCGGATATGTCAGGTTCTCCTTATCATTGTATCGCCCAGTGGTTAGCTGAAATACTGGAACCAGTTAGAAGCTAAGTGTCTATTCGTCATCATCATCATCATTATCAACATAGGACCAGGCATTACTGCGTAACGGTCCGAGTTGCCACACCTCATATCAGCACATCAAGTAAAAAGGTAGTGAGGTGAAGGATGAAGATAAGTGAATGCAGTCAAAAGAAATATAAAGTACGAGAAGAAAGGAAAGAGGAGTGACAAAATAGTGAGATTCGGTATAGCGTTGTTAAGATGAGGATAATGTGTGTATACATCTGCGCCACTGACTTCGGTTCTGAGCCATATCACCTAGGGTCTCCAACCACTGGTTCCTCTTGTCCCGTGGACCCCAACCACCTAGTCTGCATCGTCCTACATGGCTTAAACCAACAGTCAGAGACTTCATACATTGGTGCCATGTTTTAGTCTGGCCACCTCGGGCCTTTTTCCAGCCTGAACCCACCTCAGCCAACATTGTGTGACGAGGCAATCGGTGACTAGGCATACGTAGTACGTGTCCCAACCATCTCAGTCGATGAAGGTTCACAACCTCGTCGACTGACTTACCTCTTCTCCCTAAAACTCTACACCTAACTTCTGCATTACTCACATGGTGACACCACGGAATACGTCCTATACTACGAAGGCAACGGTGGTCAAATACCTGTAACCTTCTCATGTCTTCCACTTTCAATGGCCATGTTTCACAGCCATACAGTAGAACAGAGCGGACTGCTGTGCAGTACACGCGACCCTTAATAGACAAACGAATATCACGGCGGCGCCATAGGTGGCGCAAATTGGCAAAAGCCAATCGAGCCTTTTGTATCCGTGCAGAAATCTCATCGGCAACTAACCCACCGGGTTGATCCTACTTCCCAGGTAAGTGAAGTGGTCAACACACTCAACCACTTCACTCTCTATTGTTAACCGCGGTACCGCTGAAGACCAGTCCTGGAGCAAAAATTTGCATTTGGGTGGTGAAAATCGCATCCCAAACATTCTCAAATTCCCACTCAAAGTGTTCAGAAGACTCTGCATCTTGTCAGCGTCTTCACCTAACAGGACTATGTCATCTGCATATTCTAGATCTAAGGAAAATTCACCTGTGATCCGGTCAACGTCTTTGTAATTAGGTGACGAGAGGGAAACCTCCATAAGAATATCTATGATAAAATTAAATAAGAATGGGGATAGTGGGCATCCTTGACGGACACCACTTGATGAGTATAGCTCCCTGGACAACTCACCATAGGCTCTAACATGCCCACAAGTGTTCGAGTAGAGAGCTTTCAATAAGGTGATGTACTTACTAGGCACGCCTTTCAGTGACAGACACTGCCATAAGACTTCTCGATCAACGGAGTCAAATGCCGCCTTCAGGTCGAGAAATACAGCTATTGTCGGGCGTCTGTAAGCATGCCTATGTTCCAGGACCTGGCGCAGTGTGAATATTTGGTCGATACATCCACGGCCAGGTCTAAAGCCTGCCTGGTTTTCTCGGGCTTGCTGTTCCCGAGCTCCACTCAGGCGTCGGAGAATTATAGAACTTAGGATCTTAGACACTATGTTTGTCAGGCTGATTCCTCTGTGGTTATCACAAGAGGACTTCTCGCCTTTCTTGAAGACTGGGATGATCAGTGACTTAGACCAGTCGGAGGGGATCGTATTTGATTCCCATATACTGGCTAACACTTCCGTTAGCCTGACTAAGAGAAGTGTTAGCCAGTATATGGGAATCAAATACGATCCCCTCCGACTGGTCTAAGTCACTCATCATCCCAGTCTTCAAGAAAGGCGAGAAGTCCTCTTGTGATAACCACAGAGGAATCAGCCTGACAAACATAGTATCTAAGATCCTAAGTTCTATTCGTGATACATTTGAGCTTACTGATACCATTAAGGATGTTGAACCCATCGGTAAAGCTAGGTTTTCCTTAGATGTTACCTCATTGTTCACTAGTAAACCACTCACTGAAACTGTTTGTTACATATGTGATTTCATCGATTCACACAATATAGAAGTAGGAATTCCAACAAACTACTTGACACAGCTATTGATCAGATGCATTTTCAATGTCCAATTTAATTCCGATGGTGAGATATGCCAGCAAAATGATGGGGTTGCAATGGGATCCCCACTGGGACCTTTAATGACAGATTGTTTCATGTCAAAACTAGAAAATCCTATTCTTAGCCGAACTATTAAGCATCTTGACATCTATAAACGATATATGGATCATATATTCGTTATTTGTAACTCAACTATCGACCTGCATGATATCCTACGCGAGTTTAACAATTGTCACTCAGCATTCGAATTCACTATTGAGAAGGAATTGGAATCAGCTATTCCTTTCCTTCACGTACTGATTACGACACGTAGCAATGGAACGCTGAAAACATCCATCTACAGCAAACCCATATGGAATGGACAGATCACTAGTTTATATAGATGGGTACCGATCATGAGTAACAGAATCCTCATTCGCTCACTGTGCCCATCAAATATATAATATTTGTAGCACAGAATGTGTCCAACTTGAACTTCACTTTCGAAGAGGGACGCTCGCGGAAACCGATATCCTAGACGACTTATCGATAACAATATGAGAGAAACGCATGAGAAACCAGTCACCAGCTCAGTTTCAAAAAAGACTTCGTTCATGAACCTGGACTGCAAACGTCATGCAGCATCACATATCCTGAAAAATCGTCTCTCCAGATCAATTAGTAGCAACTTTTTTCTCAACAAAACTTCACTTGATCTTTACCAGTTGTAAATTCTTCTCCGTTTGTGTAAAACACAATATCCCTCAACAGGCCACATACATGTATACCTAACAGTTCACCTGCTCCTGCTAGAGCAAGGAAAAACCAGCGGTAGTCACAGATTTCTGTCAACACACATACGAGAACATATTCCGGCCTGGTTTGATAAGGAGGAAAAGGAATCAATCAGAAGTTCTACCCTTCAGCATTTAGTCCATCCCTACCATTCAACTGACCCAAACAAGGATTTCAACGTTGTCTAACAAATTCGCCCTAACACCTCACGTTTCCTCCATGTTCAGCTTCTAAAGCAGCACACGCCTTGCTTATCCATGAACTGAAGCCTGACCTTGGTGTGCAAAAGAAGTATTTAATGTCTTTGTCTGTGACCTAGCCTTAATTTATTTTAGTCTTCATGTACTTCGTCTTCTCTCTTCGTTTCTCACCCCTTCCCCTTTTTGTCAGATTAATCTTTGTACTCTTAGATCATCATTATCACTTTGTTTTTTATATTCAATTAGTTCTGATGTTATTTGGTCATTTGATCTTCCTAATAATCGCAACTTTTAACAAAACATTTTCAATTTACTCCAATTAACTTGTCTCATTTATATTACCTAATCCTTTGATTGTTTATTAACGTTCTCACCCCTTTTATCTACAGCACTTTATAAATGATTCGGAAATCTTACGTAATCCCGTTTTGTTATTATTCGGCCTTTACGTCATCAACCAGAGACATTGTTATCCTTATAACCGTCATTATTATTGTTCAAACCCCCATTGTCTATGTTAGATCTTTCTGACGGATTAGTCTTCGAAGATCATATATGTCTGCATACAAGTGTATGTTTTATATATATATATATATATATATATATATATATATATATCAGTATGAAGTTCTCTTATTAGAGAACACCATATTGCTGAAATTATGCGGAGGAATGCGTAAATAGTGGGGTGAATGTCGTTAGTTCTTCGATCGGAATTGTGTACGAAAAATTTCGTCGGGCCGCTGAAATAACGCGGATTATGCTGAAGTAATGCGGGTGGTGGTGAAATAAGTTGGGTAGTGCGGAAATAAGGCTGGAACTTGGCGTTAATGAAACAGTCAGCGCTGAAATAAGGCTGGGATTGTCCTCAACAAAGCTGCATTGAAGCATGCACGCTTAAACTTTTTCGCAAGTGCGTAAATCATAGGAGTAGTCCGTAAAAATATACTGGACTGTCGCATCCCAGCATTATCTCAGCATTCCAACCCCTGATTTCAGCATTCGTGTTTGACTGGGAAAAACACACCTGTTCTCCTTAATAGGAGTTAGCCACTACGATTGCAAAAGATGGGGCCAATATGCTAGCGAATGACAAAAATTTACACAATAAATTACTGAAACTCAACATCATATCAATAAATGTGTTGAACTAACCATTGTTCAGTGCTTTTTGAAGCTCATCTGCAGATATGGAACCACTTCTATTTAAATCAACTCTAAATAATTGGATCAGATATCAGAACTTGGGTTACACTTACTGATTGAAGAAATTAGCAATTTGTGGATTCACATTACATTGATTCCCGTACATGGCAATCCGTAGCTTAAAAGTAAGCTGATATACAAGGTCAATGTAAAAAAACAAAACCGACAGGAGAAAACAACCTTCTCAATATCCAATATCTATTTAGTCAGCTTGTGTAAACTAGTTGAATTCTTCTTGCTCGCTTCTTGGTCTTGCAGAATGGTTCCAGGTCTTTGGAGGATTCCGATGCAGTAGATTCAGTCACTTGTCTGTTATAGCTCTGGTATACAGAACAGGAGGATAAGTGCTGGTTAGTTCGCCTTGGACTGTGGTACAGTTGGCTTCTTCAGATGTCGAGTTGCCAGATGGTTGTTCAGAATGGTCGTTAGAAAGACTTAAGGAAAGTGAAGGGAAATCCTTGAAAGGAAAGTTCGTGTGAATAAAGGGAAAAGTAAAGTGGAATAGCGGAGTAATCTAAATACACATAGGTTTTGCGAAAAGGGGGCAGACACATGAAGGATTTAGGTAGGCAGGGCTTACTCACGCTAAGGGGAAGGGATGACGAGGCCTGAATGGTTGCAGTAGAAAGAAAACTGGATGTAGATGTAAACTAGTCGGGATCGCGTGACGCAAGTAGATTTCTTCTTTTTAGTTCGTATTCCAGCTACATGTGTGTTAACCATGGGTCTCCGAGTGACTGTCTAGCCCTCCTTGAGGCTTTAAACAGATAGGGCGGAGACTACTTCTGCTAGTGATGCACTTCAGTGCCCGCGCACTGGTTTTTTACCTTTGGTGGGCGGTTCTTTTAGGGTTTGTAAGAGGATCACCGTATTGGCCACGCGGTAGGAATCCTCTGTTCCTGAGACTTGGGTTGTTCAGTATTTTGTAGGTCAACTCGTAACCTTCAGTAGCCTAGAGAATATAGGCCTAGGTCCTTCGGTCTATCCTCACACGGTTTTCGTTGCGTCCCAACTACCCTTTCTGTGGCTCGCCTCTGGACTTTCCCCAGTAGGTTAGTGCCTCTTTTAAGTTGTGGTGGAGCGAAGACATGGACCTCCAAGTGGGGTCGTGCGTAAGTCTTGTAGAGCTTCAGAGAGGGCTATTGGGTGAGGATATCTAGCTGTCTGCTCGCAAAGGATTGCTCCTTGTAAGACACCTCACGATGACGTCCTCCAAGTTGAGTGGACCCTGTTGACTTTTGTGCAGGACTCCCCACTGTCTAAGTAGTTCTGCAGTCAAAACAGCACCCGGCCGCGGAGAGCTAACCCGGATTATTTGTGTGTTAGGATGGTTTATAAAACAGTGTCAAGGGCTTTGGCGAAATCTAGAAAAATCACGTGGACCTGGACCTTGAGATCTCAGCATGCTGTTCGGTGATCATGGGCCACCGGGAGGTTGTGAGCACAGGACCTACCCTTTCGGAAGCCACGTTGAGCGCCACTGAGTGCCTGCTTCGTGTCCAGACACTCCCTGATCCGGTCATCTATCAGGCTTTCCATAACTTCTGATATTACGGGTAGGAAGGCCATGGGTCTGCAGCAGTTCGGATTATGCCTGTCTCCTCCTTTGAAGACAGGGGAGAGGATGGCCCGTTTCCACTCCCGTGGCAGTTTTTGTTGGTCCAAGGAGGGTTGGAAGAGACTGCGGAGTAAGCCACTTAGAGTACTTGGATATTCTTTCAACACAGATGGGCGAATGTCTCTACACCCCGGGGATTTTCAGTTGCTTAGCTTTGATAACTTGTTGAGAACAGCAGCACGAGTTATCTGTACTTTGTGTAACTCTACAGTTTCGGATAACTTTATGAGCTGTTCGGGCAGTAGGTATGCACAATTTCCTGATGGACTGTTGAACCATGTGTCAGATGTGGTGCTTAACATTCCGGCTATCTCCAGTCCAGAGAGGTTTTCCCCTTTCGGACATTTTATGACACATGCTCCTTGGTTTGTTGATCTTCTCTTTGCCATGGATCGGTATAGGTTTTTGGGGTTTACCTAGGATTTCTTGGCGTGTTTGGACTGGAACGGCTTCCTGTCTCCCCACACCCTGATTTTGCTTCGATTTCGTACAGCTATGTATGCGTCGAGATCGTCGTCTTCTCTGGAGGGTCCCCATTTGTGCCACACCCTTCTCTTGGCTTTTAGGAGGCGCTCAGCTCCTGAACAGAAACATGTCGCCTATTTTAACTTCTGTGTCACTAATGTCTGCTGATAACCACGTTTTCATCAGGATTGTGATTTTCGCCACAAGGTTGGAACAGAGGGATCGAAGTTCTGACATTTTGCTTCGGAGCCCTCTCACGTTGCTGTAAAGACACTTGGAAGCGCTTCTGGTAACATGATATGTCATTGGGTTAACCAGTGGCACATGTTTAAATGTGAGGGTTTCGACTGACTGGCCAGCTCCAATGGAACCGGCCTAGTTAAGTTTTTTCCTAGGTCGAATGGCACAGTCTGCACTATGTGAAGGTTGTCGGTCTGACTCTCAGTGTGCCGGTTTAGGGTGATGGTGGCCTGAGCACTGGGAGTAACTGCTGTCTGTTGGTGTCGCAGTGTTCTCGGTTGGCTTTCACAGAGGCGAACATTCCTGCTTATGGTGCTCTTGACTTTACACCACGTCTCTAGCTCTCTGGCAAGGACTTCTGGGGATTCAAAATTGACAGCCATAAGTCTGGGTGAAGTTATGGTTGTCAGATGCGGGGGCATGGCAGCTTGCCGATTTCCACTGTTACAACCCTAATAAGCTCCATCTGAGCTGATAACCATTCCCATTGTTGGACGTCATGGGTGCACTAGTCATGCGGGGTGCCGGTCACCATTTCAGATATTCCGTGTATGACCATGGTTATGGGTTTTAGTGGGTCAGCTGCCTCTCGAGATGTCTTTCTTGACACCCATGATCAGTCAGGTCTAGCTCTAATGTTGAACGACCTGTCGATGGCCAGGTTGTGTGATAGTGAGAGGAACCCTTCAGTGTCTCTGGTTGAGCCAAGAGTCACTCTTATTTGTGGACACTTCGCTGGGGGCGAATGGGTGCCGTTGTACACTCGACACGGTTTTACCTCGAGAGCTGCCAGGCCTAGCATGGCATGAGGGAGCTCCACTGCTGCCTGTCAGGCGTATCGCTATGCTCCAGAAGGCTGTCACTGCAGACAGAAACGTTGAACAGAATGGTAGAGCTAGATCGGTCACTGATGCCAAAATTATCCGAACCTACGGGTGCGCTTCCACGGATAATTCGAGCCTTCTTCTCCTCCTTAGCCCATGCGTTACACTGTCCGCTGGTGTGGTTCCAGGGCATGGGGTAGACGTGGTTGCTTTTGGTATAGGCCATGTTTTGTTCGGCATAGAACCTATCAGGTCTTTGGCCTTCTCTAGGCCATTATGGAGATCCTTTGGAGAGTGAACCTCCTCCATGATAGTTGTTTGACGGTCACCTGGTCTTTGATAGTTACTGGAAACTTGTCACTTACTCTAAGTAAGCCTGAAGCTAGGTGCGGTCCCAGACGACACTGTGGGCAAATGTATCAGAACCATGTGCATGGGTGGCGCGTCGTAAGGATAAAGTACTGATGTGGTACTTCTTTGTCACCTCAACAGTGCACCCACCTGTTGCAACTGTTGCACTCAAACACGCCATCACTTTGGTCACAGTGACAGCACATGTGTGACAGTCGTCGTCACTTCCATGAGGTTGGTCCAAATGCTTCCGTCTTATTTTTTGAAGTTTCCGCCTAGTGGTTCTCACTAGGGGTCGGGATGGGCGCTAGGTATCGCACGGGGGCCTGGGTTACTTGACTAGGGATGGTAACGTTTACGGTGCTGGGAGGGTTCGCAGTCTGGCTAACTTCGAGCATTATAAGCCCTGACCGTTCAGCTGAGCTGGACCTAGGTAGTGCATTCGTATCCTTATTAGCTTTCCTCGTCACATTCTGACGTCGCATAGTTACAACCCTAGCAACTACCGAGAGTGAGGTGGTCAGTGACTGCGGTGAAGCCATACTCGAAGTACCTCGAACATTTTTTTCGCGGGCGGCACGCTTTTACCACGCACATTAATAAATAGATGAAGATAACAACAGTTTTAATAAAAGGATTAGAGCAGTGAAACTGAAACGCAAGTAAACAGAAGAGTTTCAACCTCACCTTTGACTGTCTGTAGCTGCGACTCTGTCGAATTCCAAAACGTACCAAGTGCGGGGAGTGGATGTTAGTGGAATATGTTTTGCTGCAGATGCAATGACCTGAGCTCTAGCAGTTGGTAGAGACAGCCGGATCTGCCATACACTTGCTGATTTAAAGCGCAATAGTGGTAATGAAGTAAGCACTTATAGTGCCACACACTTCCCCAAAGTCAATAGCCTGGGGTTGGACGACTTTCAACATTCATGCTGACCTTGATCGTTTAACTGGACTCGCTAAGATGAAGGCACCCGGTCAAGCATCCTCGCCATTTGGCACGCTGTCGTGTTACGTTGCACTGCTCGTATTCGACTCCCTAACCGGCTAGTTGGGACGCATCGGTATCCTGGCACAACCATCCAAATATACTATTCCATCCGACTACTCTATCGTGTTCTTCCTTGGTCTCGTACTCGTGGGTATATAACAAGTCCGGATACTTAGTGATTGGTCTTTGCGTCTGTCAAGTTCACACCAGGTCAAATCCTAAACACTGTTCTGCAGCGAAATTGTTGCAAAAACGTTGAGTGAGGAGTTGGACGCTCCTAGTGGACAGCGGTAAATGTAGAATTTGTTGTAATAGATGGAGACCAGCGAAAACACGTTACTATTCAAGGGTCACGCAATGAAGCGTAATCCTCAAAGCAAGCATTTTAATGTTTTGAAACTGTTGACTTCCGGTATTCCGAGACAAGTGGATTCATACTGAGGATCTAAAATATCTGCCCGAGGACCATATTTCTTCTCATTTGTATATCTCATCGAAGATTTCTGCTGAAAAATCTTTAACATATCCCTTTACATGGTTCTGTTACTTTTAATATCTAAGATTTCATCACTGCAGACTGAATCATTAGTGGTTCTCTAAATTTTCCCTAGTTTTCCCCAGGCTTCTTTTTATCTCCTAAAATTTCCCCGACACGATCTATTCTGAAAAG